ATAGTCTACATTGCGCAAGCCTATTGTTGCTTTGCCCAGAAGCAAAGATATTTCAAAGCGACATCATATTGATAGAACTAGTCAGGAAAGGTAAGGAAATAAGTACTCTCTAAGATTGTGACAGTACATGTTTGACAAATTATGTTGTATTGAGCCAGATGGCACATGTTAAGTGACATCACTGTCATTGCCTACCAGGGGCGGCAAAATGAATTTTCCATATTGCCCAGGTTGTCAGGCAGCATGTATAGACAAATTGAAATTTTCAAGAATCTATACTAAGAAATGCTTCCTATAAATACAGACAGTTAAGTCAAATTAAGATTTTGCTGGCCCTGCAAGCTGTTATTAGGCTCAATTTGGGGTTCAAAATCACAAACTGTGATAAAAATGGGGTTCTGATATTTAAAGCTCTTCACAAGATCCAATTGTTGACAGAAAGAAACTAACTTAAATCATTGAAAATCAGTTACATTTATGATAACATATATGTTTCTAAATCATGAATATACTTAAATCAAATATTATTTTGTTAAATATTATGAGTACATGTATAAAAAACAAAATAAATGGTGAAACGAAAATATTTAAACTATTTTCCTGGTATAGATTTATAACATGTTGCCGTGAAATTCATTCAGGTATAAATAATATTCATTGACATTCCTGGTATATTCACAAGATAGTTCTGTGATCTTGCCCGAAACTGTTTTCTCCTTTTAAAATTATTTTAGGATTGTGTTTACTCAATTCATAAGTGTTTTTGCTTCACAGCTTTTAGTTTGAGGTTAATACAACAGTTTGTTATAATCTTGTGGATGCAGGGCATAAGTACTACAGGGCATTATCAATTAATTTATTTATGCTCAGTGGAAATATCAGATTTTTATTGGGAGCCAAGGCCATTTTAATATGCAAAAAAAATTTTTTAAATTAATTAATATTGTATCTGCCGTAGCAGTTGTCAGTTTCTAGTAGAACAACATCATTTTGTGTCACAATTGCAAAGATAGTTTGAATTTGTTAATGAGAATACAAAGGCATTAGCTTTCCGACAAACAATAACAAAAACGACCACTGTTAAAGCCATTCTACAGAGTTAGTCACAACAGGTCAACCAATCATCTCTGGTATTTGAGATGACTTGACCTTGACCTGCTGTGTGCCTTCTCCGCGACATGCACGCCTCTGGAGGAAGAAGAGACAGATAAGAATGTCAATAAAAGTTATTATTAGGACCATTCTTTCTTTCTTTGAAATTATGAATTTTTATGCCCCCACAGAGTGGGTGCATATAGCGTTGCACTTGTCCGTACGTCTCTCCGTCCGTCGGTCCGTCCGTACGTCCCGAAATCTTGTGAACGCAACTCCTCTTAAACCGGATGGCAGATTTTGCTTAAACTTTCAGGGATGAACAACCTTAATGTGTAGATGGTAGTAAAGGAAGGAATTTTTGCTGCGACCAAATTTAACAGAATTGTGGCCCTTTGTTGATTTTTTCACTATATACTATGTAGAAATTTTGTGAACGCAACTCCTCTTAAACCGGATGGCAGAGTTTGCTTAAACTTCCAGGGATGAATAACCTTAATGTGTAGATGGTAGTAAAGGAAGGAATTTTTGCTGCGACCAAATTTAACAGAATTATGGCCCTTTGTTGATTTTTTCACTATATACTTTGTAGAAATTTTGTCAACGCAACTCCTCTTAAACCGGATGGCAGATTTTGCTTAAACTTCCAGGGATGAATAACCTTAATGTGTAGATGGTAGTAAAGGAAAGGAAATTTTTGCTGCGACCAAATTTAAACAGAATTATGGCCCTTTGTTGATTTTTTCGCTATATACTATGTAGAAATTTTGTGAAACGCAACTCCTCTTAAACCGGATGGCAGATTTTGCTTAAACTTCCAGGGATGAACAACCTTAATGTGTAGATGGCAGTAAAGGAAGGAATTTTTGCTGCGACCAAATTAAACAGAATTATGGCCCTTTGTTGATTTTTTCACTATATACTATGTAGAAATTTTGTCAACGCAACTCCTCTTAAACAGGATGGCAGATTTTGCTTAAACTTCCAGGGATGAACAACCTTAATGTGTAGATGGTAGTAAAGGAAGGAATTTTTGCTGCGACCAAATTTAACAGAATTATGGCCCTTTGTTGATTTTTTCACTATATACTATGTAGAAATTTTGTGAACGCAACTCCTCTTAAACCGGATGGCAGATTTTGCTTAAACTTCCAGGGATGAATAACCTTAATGTGTAGATGGTAGTAAAGGAAGGAATTTTTGCTGCGACCAAATTTAACAGAATTATGGCCCTTTGTTGATGTTTTCACTATATACTATGTAGAAATTTTGTGAACGCAACTCCTCTTAAACCGGATGGCAGATTTTGCTTAAACTTACAGGGATGAACAACCTTAATGTGTAGATGGCAATAAAGGAAGGAATTTTTGCTACGACCAAATTAAACAGAATTATGGCCCTTTGTTGATTTTTTCACTATATACTACACTGGAGCCGCGATATAGCGCTCATCGGTATAGCGCTAATCTCAGTAGAACGCTCATATGCCTTGGCTCCCAAAAAAAAATCGTATTTTTCGCCGATTATAATTTTTTTTTCATGTATATCAATACCGCACCTTATCCACTATAACGCTTGTTCAAAGTGTCAGTCGAGTGCAATAAACAGTCATAATTACGTCACTCATGATAAGAAGGTGTGAAGTCATACACAGGTAAGCGTTAATCCGCTCTTTTGTTCATTTTGAACTGTTGATCAGTCAGGTATCAAACTGTTAGCTAAAACATGCAAACACCGAAGAGTTAAGCAAATCACCTAAGCGTACAATTAATTTTAAAAAGCAATTACTTTCGATTTATCGGCAAAAAAGTTGTTGAGGATGACTGATTTTTTCACAAGAGACAGCAGGAAAGACGATTAATTTAGTCCCATCCACTAGGTATCAATTTTCATGACCACACATAACACACGTTAACACCGCTGTTTTACTGGAAATTTATAAACAATTGTACATTCGTGGTTTATATTTTTTAATTTGTAAATTTCATGTTTATATTAAAGATATTCAGTAATGCTTTATAAAATAATTAATAATAATACATAAAAAAGCTTGGACTGATATCCATTGGAAGGTAAGTAAACATTCATTTCCACTAACAAGCGTTATATGTTTCGGCGATGGGTGGGGTAATGCGATATTTTCGTTATATAATTACACAATGAGCGTTATAAAAAGTTACTCGTTACAACGCTGTCTTGAGATCATGGACCCCAACATGAGCGCTATATCGCGGCTCCAGTGTATGTAGAAATTTTGTCAACGCAACTCCTCTTAAACAGGATGGCAGATTTTGCTTAAACTTCCAGGGATGAACAACCTTAATGTGTAGATGGTAGTAAAGGAAGGAATTTTTGCTGCGGCCAAATTTAACAGAATTATGGCCCTTTGTTGATTTTTTCACTATATACTATGTAGAAATTTTGTGAACGCAACTCCTCTTAAACCGGATGGCAGATTTTGCTTAAACTTCCAGGGATGAATAACCTTAATGTGTAGATGGTAGTAAAGGAAGGAATTTTTGCTGCGACCAAATTTAACAGAATTATGGCCCTTTGTTGATTTTTAGTTTTCAACTTGTGGCACATGTAGTCCAAAAAATATTTGACCTAGAGTCATAAGATTTACAGAACAGTGGCGTGTGGGGGCATCCGTGTCCTATGGACACATTTCTAGTTTTTCTTAAATTGCCAACAATTAATTACTTATTATAATAATTTTACAAACACAAATTCTTTTATACCATGTACAAACAGTACATTGTACATCATAATGTATATTAGCATCTTTAGTTTATAATGAATAATTTTAATAGTTGTTTGACTACTTGGATTTTTCATTAACTTGAAATCTGGTATAATATACATGTATAACAGTTAAAGTTTTCAATGGATTGAAAGATTATGATGTTATCTGTTTATCAACCAAAAAATCTCTTACAAGCAGATTAAAATTACTAATTTCAATATTCTACCATTTTGTTAACAAAAGAATGAAATTTGTTTTTACTTTTTAATATAAAAATGTAAAATCAACATAATAACATATGTACTTAAGGATTATGATAAGTTAGTCTGATATAATTGAACTCTAAAGTCTGTTACAAAAATATTCAGGTGAACTGACAATAAATTCCATAAAGAGCTATTCCATTTGAACTAGAGCATTGAAACTCTGTAAAATTATCTCAGAGTAAGGACTGGGTTGTCAAAGGTCAAGGTTACAGTAAATGTGTTTGGTTGTTACCAATACAATCCTTTTGAGACAGGAAGTAGTTTCCCCTCATTTCATCAATAGTTGGAGAAGGCACAGACATCAAATATTGAAAACATTTATAGCTTGATGTCTGAAGGGATTCTGTGACCTCTGTTGATATAAGAGCTCAATGTCATGAATTTTTTAACATTAAATTTTGTAAATTTCAAATATAAATTTTTAATTACACTTTTTATTTATTGAAGATTTTGAATTATGGCCAAAGACCAGCAGGCTTTTGTTGAAAAAAAGAAGTATAGTATATTTATATTCGTACAGTGATAAGCTTTTGGGAAGATTCAGGAAGGGGAAATTTTGATGTAATTCAGTTACATTAATTTAGTGTCAAATTTTAAAAGTTTATATATATATAGCATTGTTAATACATATAATACTATGATATACATGTATTAATTTATCAGGTCAGTTAGAAATTTACTTCTATAAAGAATATTATAGGTGTCAGCTTCCCTTATTGTCACCGAGTTTAATCAGCCATAGAGTTTATGCTTGATTTATGTGTAGAAATGCTTATTTACCTATAGTGAGATTGGTTATTCAATTTTTGTTGCTACTGTACATAAGAAAAATACACGAAACCAACATCTATGTTTTTACATCAAATGGTATTATATTTTGACTGAATTTGAAAACAAATTAAATGATGAACATAGTTTTGTTTTTCAGAATATGGTCTCCCTGTTGACAGTAATCTGAAAAAGTCATTTAAAGAGGTGTATGGAAAAGGTAACAGTTTTTGTTGATTTTTGCTCTTTGGGCCATCCTTAAAAAAATGTTTGTTTGCAGTAACCCGACCCAGAATTTTCAAGGTGGGTAGGTAGGTCAATTTTTTTTTTTTATTGAACTGTACTCCCAAAAAAACATTGAATTTCAAAATGCAGGACAAAATACATGTATATGCTTTGATAATCTGGTAACAATTAATAAATTGATAACTGAATTCTTATTTAATAAAAACTACATTTTATTTCTTCTATTAACTTTAAAAGAACAAAAACAAAGCACAAGGCATAATTTTCTGATTCAAAAAAAATTTTTTTTTTTTCCAGACCATGAAAAAAAATTTGAGTAGGGGCAAATTTTGTGAATTTGTCGTGTTACTGCAAACAAACATTTTTTTAAGGATGGCCTTGGCCTCATTTTCTGCATTTAATATTGAACCAAAATATAGAAAAATATGATTAGTGTAACGTTTTGACATTTTTACTTAGCTTTGTTTTGATTAAAGATTATCATTTACTCAAATGATATTAGTGTTACTTAAGTATTATGTTATTTGTTTATATTGCGACAATGTATTTTAGTTTACGGTACTTTACAATATACGTTTGGTATATACGTATTTTCAATGAACGTTTGAAATCATATAATGTAATAAACCTCTCAGTGATTATGATCATTCTAATCAACCAATGAAAATAAAGTCATGCTTGAGCGATCATCTCAGCAGGTATAAATACGGCGATTTCAGCAAGATTATTCAGTCTGCAGAGGAATTCACCGGGACCAGGTTACTTTATGTAATTGAAGCCTCGCTTCATACATAGAGGATAATTTCGTCTACCTAACTGAAGCCTAGCTTCATAGGTAGAAAAGAAAGAATTGTCAAAACTAAATACCCTTGTTTATCCAATTGAAGCCTAGCTTCATGGATATAGTGTCGTTATAGTTTAGATGTGAAATTGTATTTGACTCTGGGTACTTATAGACCACCACATTTCCTGAAAGCCTCGCTATCAGAGAAGTGGTAACATATAGGTATTAAAAATCCAGAGGTAGATTTAAAACGAATAAGATTTGTATAGTTGGAACTTTGTTATAGATCCCTACCAGCAGCTTATCTTCCTATCTAATAGAAGCCTCGCTTCATAGATAGGGAGGTGGTTGCTGGACTATAGGAAATTATCGGGTTGCAGCGTGATATCTATAGTTTTCAATAATTTTATAGTGTTATATTGTAAACATCATCTTTACTATATTGAGCCTTTTTGAGAATTTAATAGTGTATTTCGGAGTGTTAATTCAAGCTGATTGTTTATAATATTTGATCATTTAAGAATCATTTGTATCTAATCAAACGGCAGGTAGCCCAAAGAAAAATTAATAATATATTTGTGTACATCCGCTCGGTACACGTTACAAAAATTGGTGGCAGCGGTGGGATTATTTAGATAAGAACACCATTATCTAGACTCACGCGTTAAAATAAATTTTCGTTAAAAATGGCTGAGAGTAAAGGTTATAGTTATGAGAAAGAGCTGACATTGTTACACGAAAAACTTAGAGAATTACAGCACCAAAATGAAGCTTTGAAATTGCAGAATGAAATATCAATACTTGAAAGACAGATTGACAGTATGCAGTTATCTTTTCAAAACCAATATGACTCAAACTATGAAGACAAACAAACGTCAACACCGAAATTTTTAACAAGACAATATGCAACACCTCTATCAGAAAGAAGGCGACGTTTATTACCACCGACCCCAGATAAAAAGCCCTTTAAAATAGAAAGTGTCTTAACCCCATTAGCTGAAAAACAAAGGTTTACGGAATCTCCTTGTGGCTTAGATTTAAATTATCCGAGAGATCGATTTGTTACTTTTCGAAAGAGAAAATCACAACCAGCAAATAAAACAGAGTCCTTACACAGCAACATACAAATGGATACTTCAAATTCAACAGAAATGAAACGTGATCCTAAAAACTCAAATTCAAAACGAAGTGTTATGATGAAGCCAGCTACGTATGATGGAACTAGCTCATGGATAGATTATAAAGCGCATTTTGAAGCATGTTCAGAAATAAATCAATGGACAAACAAAGAAAAAGGTCTTTATTTATCTGTTTCATTAAGAGGTCAAGCTCAAGGTGTATTTGGCGATCTGACAAGCAAATCACCAAATTATGATGAACTTGTATTAGCTTTAGAAGAAAGGTTTTCACCACCCAATCAAACCGAATTATATAGAGCTCAACTAAGAGAAAGAAGACAAAAAGCTACAGAATCTTTATCTGAGATGGGGCAGGACATAAGACGTTTGACTAATTTAGCATACCCTTCAGCACCATCAGATGTGAAAGAGACTTTAGCGAAGGAACAATTTATAGATTATTTGGTTAACTCGGATATGAGGCTTAGAATTAAACAAGCTCGTCCTACTAGCTTGAATGAAGCAGTAAGACACGCTGTTGAGCTTGAGGCTTTCAACAGGGCGGAACGAAAATCCAATGAAACTCGTGGTTATATGAGAAAATTAAATTCTGACGATTATGATAGTCAGAAAAGTCAAGAAGACAAATTAGATAGCCTGATAAAATTAGTAGAGGAAATGAAGAATATGTTAGCAATGTTTCGACGCCAAAATAATTTTAAAATGTTTGATAAAGGAAACATAGATACATCCCAGCGAAATCAAAAATAATAGAATGTCTTCTAGAACATTTGCTTATGGGTTGAATATAAAGTATTTGAAATGTTATGAATGTGGTAAGGACGGTCATAATAAATACAATTGTCGAAAATTCATTAGTAGATCAAAACGAAAAATTAATGTGTTAGAGAAAGATTGTGAAAATTTGTCTGATTCGTGTGGTTCAGGGTTATTTGTTGAAGCTACAATAAATGGCATCAAAACTGATTGTTTAATTGATACTGGTGCAACACTTTCAATGATTTCCTCAAGTTTTATAGATAGATGTCAGTTTCCAGTAAATCTAGAACCGTTTGTTACAAACATTGTAAATGCCTCTGGAAAACCGTTAGAAATTAAAGGTAGGGTACATTTAGATATGAAATTGAATGATGAAATTTCAACAAATCCTTTCATAGTTTCTGACATAGAGGAAGATGCAATATTAGGATTAGATTTTATGACAGCAAGAAATATTGTAATAGATGTTTCGAATAATCAGTTAACAGCCAATGGTAAAAAGATGAAAATAAATTGTAAAGGTCCGATTGGTTGTAACCGCGTGATTTGTCATTTTTGTGGAATAAAATTTAAAAAGAAAGCTTATATAAGACAGCACTGTAGAAGAATACATAGTTCTGGAATATAAATATAAATGAGATTCGAAGTGTGTGTATGCCAAATCTAATTGTTAGAGGCAGCTTAAAACATATTTTGTAAGTTCATGCGGGGCGCATGTAAAACGGAGGCGTGGGTAGTGTAACGTTTTGACATTTTTACTTAGCTTTGTTTTGATTAAAGATTATCATTTACTCAAATGATATTAGTGTTACTTAAGTATTATGTTATTTGTTTATATTGCGACAATGTATTTTAGTTTACGGTACTTTACAATATACGTTTGGTATACGTATTTTCAATGAACGTTTGAAATCATATAATGTAATAAACCTCTCAGTGATTATGATCATTCTAATCAACCAATGAAAATAAAGTCATGCTTGAGCGATCATCTCAGCAGGTATAAATACGGCGATTTCAGCAAGATTATTCAGTCTGCAGAGGAATTCACCGGGACCAGGTTACTTTATGTAATTGAAGCCTCGCTTCATACATAGAGGATAATTTCGTCTACCTAACTGAAGCCTAGCTTCATAGGTAGAAAAGAAGAATTGTCAAAACTAAATACCCTTGTTTATCCAATTGAAGCCTAGCTTCATGGATATAGTGTCGTTATAGTTTAGATGTGAAATTGTATTTGACTCTGGGTACTTATAGACCACCACATTTCCTGAAAGCCTCGCTATCAGAGAATTGGTAACATATAGGTATTAAAAATCCAGAGGTAGATTTAAAACGAATAAGATTTGTATAGTTGGAACTTTGTTATAGATCCCTACCAGCAGCTTATCTTCCTATCTAATAGAAGCCTCGCTTCATAGATAGGGAGGTGGTTGCTGGACTATAGGAAATTATCGGGTTGCAGCGTGATATCTATAGTTTTCAATAATTTTATAGTGTTATATTGTAAACATCATCTTTACTATATTGAGCCTTTTTGAGAATTTAATAGTGTATTTCGGAGTGTTAATTCAAGCTGATTGTTTATAATATTTGATCATTTAAGAATCATTTGTATCTAATCAAACGGCAGGTAGCCCAAAGAAAAATTAATAATATATTTGTGTACATCCGCTCGGTACACGTTACAGAAAAATATGATTAGTGCGGGGAGTATTTAGATTTAGCATTGTTTGTCCTTCTGTCCATTCTCTTGTTTTGCATATACATTGTAGCTCAAAAAGTGTTTGACCTAGAGTCATGAAACTACAGGAATAAGTATTGGTTAGCATGTATAATTGTGCACTTGGATGTTTTCGTATGTATTTATTCAGTATTTGTAGAGTTATTGCCCTTGACTTACTGAAATTTGCAATTTTCAACTTGTGTTAATGTAGCTGAAAAAGTATTTTTCCTAGGGTCATGAAACTTTACATTATGTAATGCTGTGAACTTGGGGTTTTGCTTGTGTATAATGGATTTGTTATGTTTCATTTGAGTTGTGACCCTTGACTTAGTAAATTTATATTTACAATTTTCAACTTGTGTCACATGTAGCTCTAAAAGTACTTGACCTGTAGTCGTGAAACTTTACAGTAATGCTGATCAGCATGTGTGAGTGTGCACCTGGGTGTTTGCTTGTTGATTTAATCAGTATGTTTAGAGTTATTTCCGTTGACTTAGTAAAAATTTGCAATTTTTAACTTGTGTCGCATGAAGCTCATAAAGTATTTAACATAGGGTCATGAAACTTATAGGAATGTTGGTCAGCATGTGTAGTTGTATATTTTCATTTGTGAAAAATGCTTAAGACATTTACAATATATATGTACAAATATAATTATAATAATGTATTTTTACCTTCTTAATCAGCATTTGGAAGAACACTGCCTTAAAGCATTTCATTTATACATAATTGTTGTTGTTATTAACTTGGTAATTTGCCTTCCCATTATAGTATGACATGTATATCAGAAATTGGCTTGAAAGATTTGTGTGTATTACATTGTACACTGTAGATGTCCCAAACTGGTTATTGTTTTGATGATATTGTTTCTATTAGGTGCCCACTGATCCTAATATTATCCTTCAGCTTGAAATAATGAGTAATGTTGTGAGAAAGAGATCTAAAGAAAAAATTGAAATAAGAATTAGAAGTTACATGTATTTCTCTTCTTAAATATTGAAAAACTTCTTTTTATGTCTCCTAAGCCTTTATAATGGAAAATATTTCATATATCATTTATTTTAGTTCTACATAAGTATGGTTTCACAATTGGCTTGTGGAGAAACAGCACAACTTGCTATGGAGGAGTTGTACACATATGGGTATGATACCTAAAACTTTGAAAATTTATTAGTCCCCTACCGGTTTACTGGAGGGGATTTTAGGTTTACCATCCGTCTGTCTGTCTGTCTGTCCGCACTCACAGGAGAGTAATTATGTGGCTAGAGGGACAATAGGTAACTGTTCTTTCTCTTTGATGTCATTCATTCCGTAATGCTTTTATGTGGCTATTTTCTTTTGTGTGGCTAAAAAGAACAATAGAGAGAACAATAGAGTAGGTACATAATTACTGTCCTGTGAGAACTTCCGTCTGTCTGTCTGTCAGTCCGTCCGTCCACAAAACTGGATCCCGTGATAACTTGAAAAGTACTGAAAATATTTTTATGAAACTTGATATATGGATAGATGGCAGTATGGAGATTATGCACGTCTTTTTCTTTTCTTCCTATGTTGAAAATTCTGGTTGCTATGGCAACACATAGACTGAAAATATGGCAAATTTTACACATAAACTGAATCCGGTGATAACTCAAAAAGTACTGGAAATATTTTTATGAAACTTGACATATGGGTAGATGGCAGTCTTGAGATTATGCATGTCTTATCTGTTCTTCCTATTTTGAAAAATATTGGTTGCCTTGGCAACAAATAGGCTTAAAACATGGCAAATATAACAATATTTGTGATTAGTCAAAAAGAGCTGAATTTTTTTTATGAAATTGCATCTTTAATTCAAGAGTTATCTCCTCTTTAAGAATTTTGCTTTTAAAAATGTTATTTTTGGTAACAGGGATGTTTCAAATATTAACTTTAGAGTGTCCTTCAGTCTGGCCAGATATGCTTAAGTATGATGGTGGGATGTCCATAGCCAAAGACTACAAACCACTTGCCTTTCACCGCTGTAGGTTCAACTCTCGCCAGAAACTTTGAATTCTTTCATTTGAGAAAGCTATCCAGCTAGCTTAAAGCACTTGAATTTGAAACGGTGATTCTGCGACCAAATTTAACAGAATTATGGCCCTTTGTTGATTTTTTCACTATATACCATATAGAAATTTTGTGAACGAAACTCCTCTTAAACCGGATGGCAGATTTTGCTTAAACTTCCAGGGATGAACAACCTTAATGTGTAGATGGAAGGAAAGGAAGGAATTTTTGATGCGACCAAATTTAACAGAATTATGGCCCTTTGTTGATTTTTTCACTATATACCATATATAATTATGTTGTCAGTGGGGGCGTCTGTGTCCAATGGACACAGTTCTAGTTAAAATTTTGTTACATTATTTAAGTTCATCTCTTTGTTATAAATATAGTACATGACTGTTGCAATGAGAACATAAAAAATACATGTCCAAAGTATTTTTTTATATAAATTATTGTCTAAATGTGAAATTCCAACAGTACATGTGATGATGATGCATTAAAGTTTTCTCTCCGTAAAGGTAAAAAAAATGTTAGTTAAAAATAAATCTTCAAATAAAATCAGTCACTTTTATTTTTATATTTTTGTTTAGTATACTAAAGAGGGAGATATTTTAGCAGAAGAACTATTCAGTCAAAAAGATGTCCGTGAAGAGTTGAAACAAAAACATTTATTCTGCATGTCATTGAATGAGAACAGGAAAGTGGTAAAAGAGTGGTTAGCAGATTGTTTATGTCCGCAGCCTTGTGAGATATATTTAGACAAGGTAAGTGACATCAATGTCTATAGCTCCTGAGCCAAAGGTTATAAAGAATTTATCTTAGCTCAAACTAAAATCTTGGGTATTTAATTTGATAATAATGTCTTGCAGGATGAGTAAAAAAAAAATTTGTATTTTGTTTTTGTACTAAGCTGTAATTGTCATTATTTTGTATCTAAATAAAATCTCTGAAATTATTTTATACACGGATATACAGTCTGACCCCGGTTATTCGACAACCCTTTATTCGAATACCCGGCATTATCCGAAGTAGAGCGACGGTCCTGTTTTTATCTCTATATAAATCAATATAAATACGAGCGTATTATTCGAAATGCATTATCCGAATACCTCCTATTTTTCGAAGTAAAATTTCGGTCCCGATTTTACAATTATGAAAGAATTTCACACCTATTATTCGAAGTCATCCTAATTATTATTCGAAGCCAGACTAATTGGCGCAGATCCACTCGCTGAAAGGTCGACTTGTGAAAAATATCAACAGTCATGCCTGTATTTAGACAATAATGATAATAACTCTTTGTGTGTTTTTCAATTAACTTGAATACCGAAAATGAAAAGCTATGCACCGTGTCCGATTTTGTTACTGTTATTGCTTGAAAATGACAGCAATAATTTTCATACATACCGTATATGTAAATTTGTCAAAACATCCAAAACATTTTTTCATTAATTGTAACGCTACACGGGAGCCTTTAGCATAATCAAAATACCAGAGTTTAGCTGTAAATACCTTAGTGACAACACGGCCAATATCAAGGCTTTGCGAGAAAACGAAACGATACATAATGTAGAATAAAATGCAAGTATTTATGTCTTCAATGTCAATAAAATAATTTTAACGCATCTTTTCTTTAATACATGTATTTATTTTCTCAATTGATTACAGGAAGTAAGTGTGTTGTAAACGGTAGTTTTGCTATGATTGGTCAAAGTGGAGAAGTTTTTCGTCTATCACAATATTCCGATTTCGTTTATTCGAACCCATTGATTATTCGAAGTAAATATTCAGTCCCAGGCACTTCGAATAAACGGAGTTGGACTGTAGTTTTCAACATAAGTATTTTTCCGAAAACATGCAATTTGTTTTTGGCTATGGCTAAATCACTGACATAATTACTGAAGAGTCGAATATACGAGGGCTGTTCAAAAAGTTCTTGGACTGCGGCTCTACTGTTCACATCTTTTAATTTGCGTATATGATTTTACAAGAGACATATACGAAAATATGTCCTTATGTAACAGTGAAAAAATCAAATCAATATGTTTACAAATTACAATTCTGTGACAGTTACAAATCACAAGGGGTGCACAATCCGGCGCACGCTGATGACGAAACAAAATGACGTTCGTGACGTCCCAATATAAATGAAACATTTTACCAGCGACATTTTTTCTTTTTAGTGTTCAATATCTGCGGATCATATACCAAAACCATTTTTCTGTGTGTGATGATGACCCGAGATATAAAGTGGTTCATCTTTTCGCTCCATTCTCCGTATAAAGGTCCGAGTGCCGCATACTTTCCGCTCGATATCGGGATTTTTGAGTAATCTCGACACTTAACGGACATTGTTATTAAGTTTAATTCAATTGTTGATTTATAGTATCAATTTGAAACCGCCCTCGTCCGATCTTTAAACAATATGATTATCAATGATAAAGAACAACATTTTATCAACTGACAATTATTTTATGCGGTAAATCTACTGAATACCGGTTAGCATTAGTTATCAAACGGACCAGAGTAAATACACGTAATACAAAAAATAACTACAATTATTTATTGTAAATACGCATATATCCTGGTGAATGAAATTTTTTTTAATTAAAATTAAATTGTTTTGTCAGAATTGAATGCAAAGATCCGATGCATAAATTGAATATGTCGGACATCTCACAAACCTTTCTGGACTTCTGTAGATCTTTTGCAATTGACGTTACAAACGTCCCAACAATTTGCCGCTAAAATTCTCCGTCGCCCTTTCTGTCTGTGAGCATGTATTTGCCGTATTTAAATCGCTTGTGCGACCTGAAACCAAGAGACTTGCTCGCCAACTCATTGTTATTAGTTAATTTAATCACCTGATAAAATATGAAAGAGTATCCCACATTTATTGGTAAAAATTTCCGAAAGAGCAAATTTCTAGTTTTTAACGGGCTTTATACTTCCCAACTTACCCGTCTGTCTACTACTGTTCAAAAAACTGTTTGTTTAGCTATACAATGTTCAATCGACGTCAAATTTCAGATTTATGCCATTTAAATACTATTAGATGATTACTTGTAATTTACTTCATAAAACAATCATTCAGTTTGTTTCAACATTTGTTTATATTTAAACATTATATGAAAATTTCGGCGTGCGCCGATGTTGCGTTGCCATGGTTATTAAAGTGCACATAACTCGTAAAGGAAACAAAAGTTTACAATAAAAGTATATCATACTTTTAGAAATAAAGACACTCTTTCGATTCATATCCACTAAGGGTGTTTTTATGAACCAAGTAAAAAATGACAGCAAAAATCCACGAACTTTTTGAACATACCTCGTATGTACTCCTTGTAAATATGTGCGGCAATTTTTATGTCTCTTAAATTATTGTAAAAAAATACAAAATGTATTGAGTGACAACTAACGAAATTAAATTTTTTTTTGCATTCACTTGCCCTGCCAGTTGTATATTCATTGAGCTTTTATCGCAATAGTCTGCATGATCAATTTTTTAAGGAGTGCGCTTTAGTCAAAATACATGTAATAAAGTTTTTAAATCTATAACTGTAAGATTGAATCTAATAAATCATGTTATTAAATGTCACATGTTTGCTTTGATTTACAATATTTTAAAAAATGTGTATTTTCTTTAAGCATGTTATTTACATTATTATGACATAATGTGACTAAGTATTATTATAATTATGTTTATCATCACCTAAGTGCAATAACTGATTAACTCCTATTAAATTTAGAAGGACTTAATTCGTTACTGTACTAAGGTGATGTTATGATATGTTGCAGGATAGTTATGATTCAAACAAGTTTTGTGTTTTTCAAGAAGAAAGAAATAAGTCTAAAGAAGAGAAGGAAAAGGTTTGTTTGTAAAATACAATTTGTTCTATAAATAGTACTCCTCTTAAACATAAACATTAAAGGAACTCCACTGAGGTTTAAAAGCTTCAAAAAATAAAAAAATTGAATTTCTTATATAGATCAGCTGTGTCACTTAAAACAGAAAGATGCAAACGATAATTAAGAAATATACTCGGAAATATTTTTTTGCCATTCTTAGCCTGATTAGATTGAAAATACAACGATTCTCAAATTTTGATCATTTTTCACCATTTGAGTAATTATTCCAGAAAAACTGAGTGAGCGAGTGATCTGAAAATTTGGACACAAGTTATTGGTCTAGACCAATATATAATGGAACATGAATGTCGAAAAATTATTTTCAGCCTCGTCATGTCAAAAAACCTCAGTGGAATTCCTTTAGGGGCCAGTTACACAGACGGTCGGTCCCCAATTGGTCATTTAATTTTAAATTTACTCGCTGTTATGATCGGTTGTCATGCGTGATTTTATTTCTGGTTTTCTGTGTAAACGGCCATCGGTGACAGAAAGCAAACTCAAACGGGGTTGGATCGGTGATAAAAATGCTGAAATACTATCGGTTTTTATCGTTTGTAAATCGGAGCTAAATCGGGCGTAACGCTGATTAATCGGTGTTTGATAGCTAGTCATCAGTGGTTAAACACTCTCCGTCAGATATGGCCGGTGATTCATGTTTGGTTATCTTTGTCCGATCAGCGATATCGGTGATTCAGAGCTTGCATATCTCGAGATATTGGTTGCTGTCGATTATTTGTAAAATATTTTCACCGATCGAGAATTTTAAACATGTTTAAAAATCCCAATCGGTAATTTTTCACAGATGAAACTTATCTTTCCCCAATAGCAGTTGATAGGTGGAAAACAGGTGACCAATAGGTGATATCGGTGTTAAATACGTGTCATCAGTTCACTCAATAATTTGGCTAAAAAAACTACTGATCAATCACCGATGGCTCTGTGTAACTGGGGTGTTAAGAACATAATTTCTTTCAAGTTTGTGTTACATTTATACAGAGACACCATGAGTATTGCCACTAATTACCTGTCAACATCAAATAACAATAACATGAAACGATAAACAATGTCTCGAAAGTTATTTTAAGTTTTAAATGAATTGTTATAAGTGAAAAAAAAAGATATTTCAAGATGCAAGTACACTGTTAATATTGTTGTTGTTTATTAGCATACATGTATTATTATTACTTGAAGAAAATTAAGAGATGTGAATGTTTGGCAAATGTCTGTCTTCTGTTCACATTAAAACTGTTCACATTACTGATTATCAAAATTTAATGGTCGAGTAGTTTCTATAGGTCACAGACTTTAAATCACTTACATCTCATCACTGTATGTTCCAGTCGCAGGAATGTAGGATTCTCTCAGGAGAAATTATTTAGGACCACATAGCTTATGGCAGATTGTGATTCTACCACGGTATCTGCTTCTGCTTGAGACACTGCATGGAGGGGCATTAATACCTCCACCTGAAAAGCTGGAATATTGCTGTCTGACCTATTTGGTTTCATATGACTGAAAACTTATCAAAAGAGATGTTAACTAAGAATTATTCTACATGGTTTGAGAGCAATTAAGAATTATCATGTTTTTCTATGTATAGGAGAAGTTGTTATTCCTTAAAGAGTGCCAGTTACGAGGCACGCATCGGGAGTTGTGTATGTACAAATGGCAATCCTATAAACAAAATCAGTAAGTATTCCACTGCAGGAGAAGAAAGGTCAAGATTATATAATAAAAAAGATACTAATATCACAGGCTTGATATTTGTAATATATTTGATAAAGTAGAGCTGATGTTGATTATACAACAAAATAACATTTAAGCATACCATGCTGATTACATTTTTGCCGTACCATACTGATATCATTTTTGCCATACCATGCTGATTACATTTTGATTGATTACATTTTGGCAAACCATGCTTATTACATTTTGGCATATCTTGCAGATTACATTTTGGCATGAAATACTGATTACATTTTGGCATACAATACTGATTACTTTTTGGCATACCATGCTGATTATGCCAATTACATTTTGGCATGCTATAATGATTTCATTTTGGTAGCTTAATTATATTTCAAAATATTTATTGATAAAAAAGTTTTGAATATAAAAAAAAAATTGAATACAGTAGGTATGATAGAAGGAAACACATACACATATTTTCATATTACAGGAGCAAACAGTCTTTTGAAAGAATTGACAAATCAAGGTTTGAACCTGTCAGCAAGGTTCCTATTCAGCCAGGGTTGTTTAAAGGCACGTATGGTGGACATGGCACTGAAATTGTTCATTTGTACTATGATTCTGGTGGAACTTGTGGCCATGGTCAAAAAATATCAGTAAGTTAAATGAGTGTATTAATATTTTCTATGAAGTTTGCAGGAAGGGAAAAGGATATCAGAGCCACTAGTCATGCACAAGTTGCTAAATTCTACTTGTCCTAAAAGTTACATAACTTGTTGTACATTAAATGAGTGATTTTCAAACTTAATAATGCCCTTTAGATTTTTTTTATTAAATGGATAATAAATGTATGTGGATAAGTAAGAATCTCCAGCAGGATTTGTAGGAAAATGTTGCATGCTTGATAAGATAAGACACGGTTAGAATTAAAAAAATATTTTAGGTAAACATTAACGGAAATAAACCAGAAACCAAGCTGTGTGTTCGGTATGTGTATACAATGCACAATATAAACCAAGTTGATGCAAAAGGCAAAAATTTTCTATGAAAGTTGATCTGGGACATTGAATCTAATGGTCTTTTCTCAAGGCTGATGGAAAAGTATTCCAGTCCAGTGGGTGATTTGACAGCATGTTAAGATAATGATGACAAACATGTAGAAATAGGTATAAGAATGAAACAAACAGATGTTTCACTTTAGAGTGAAATCTCTAAGTAACTAGAATATTGATACAATTTGATATGTTCAAGTCACTGATTTTTTTTTCCTTTTATGCATTTGTCTAATGTGTATATTTTTCAGCATTGTAAAACAATGCTGTCTTTTTAAGGTAGAAAATAAGTGAATTATTCCATATATTGTAGCCTGAAAGCCTATGAAATGTTAAATATAATGTCTGATGTTATGCTAAAAAGAATGCTTTACATGTATTTGAACCAGAAAACCAGCTAAAACAGTCAATTCAATACTTGTCATTCAAATATTCCTTATCTCTAACAAAAAAAAACCAGCTGAAATAGAGTCAAATGGCCTATACAGTGATAAAACCTAACCCCAAAAAATCAGGTTAATCCTGTTTTATTTCTACAGGGTGACCCAAACGTTCCCTCAGGTGAAGTAAGTCTAAGATTTAATATAGCCAATCATATGGTGCTAGACAAAGAACAGCAACAGTTTCACGCTCTCAGACAAGAGGAGTTGGACGATGAAGTGAAATCTGCCTTCAATCATGAGAAAATGTTGCAACAACCATTCCTTATGCCATCTGATATACATATTGATGACAGAAATGCTGTCTGTCCAAAATTCTGTATAGCAAGGTAAGTATTTCTTTCAATGTTTTATTTTTTTCTCTGATTGGAGAAATTGGCAAGTGTAGGGTCACTGTGAACTTTTTTCTGACTGGAGAAATTGGAAAGTACTGGCCCACTGGTTATGAAACTTTTTTTTGAGATCTGACTTGAATCGCAGGATTTTCATTGGTCATTGCACATTCTGTGCTTGTTACTGACCAATCAAATACCTGAGATATGAGTTTTACTTTACAAAATTTCTGTATAACCTTGGATCACGGTTTATTCTGGTACAGAAATAAAGATGTTCACAAAGTAGATGCCTGTTGGTATAAGACTGAAAGTTTCAAAAAGAATATGAAACACAGTGTAACAAATTTTATTAAAATTAAAACTTGGTTTCCGCACCCTCCATTTTGTGACTGTGATGCTAGTTATGCACCTTTTATGACAATATGACGTAGCCAGTTGGGGCATTAAAATTGTATGTCAGCCTCTTGACCCTGGGTATAATGTGTTTGACCTTTGAACCTTTCTCCTGTTACAAACCATTCACCCTCATATGACACAAGTACTTGTTTAATCCAGCAATAAAGTGATCAATATAAGCTGCAAGAACTTATTTCACAATCAGACCTAAACGAGTATTGTTTGTTAAAACGGAGAAATATTGTATTGTATATTTCTTAATTTTTCATTTATACAAGTCAACTTATTTGTCATTAATATGTTATGTTATATGGTAGATTTCTACATTTTTCATTTGCTATCAGCTATAAACTAAATGAAACATTATATGTTGCAGATTTCTCGGCAAGGGTACGGTATCACCTATGGGGTATAGACATCCATCGTTGATCAATGTACATTTTATTGTGTTCGATGAAAACAAATTTGGTGTTCTATGGATAGATCTTCACTCTTTCTCATTATTTTCACGAGTAGAAGAAACCTTTCCAGCTTTGAGATGATAGTGAATGAGAGAAAAATCATCAGAGATGCAACAAATACTTCTTTTTATTGAAATCAAATACATTTTTGCCAAAAAGAAACAATTTTTCCCCCAAAAAGAAATACTTTTTTCCTAAAGATAAATACTTTTTCCTAAAAGGAAATACTTTTTCCTAAAAAAATAAAATACTTTTTCCTAGAAAGAAATACTTTTTTTTCCAAAATAAAATATTTTTTCCCAAAAAGAAATAACTTTTCCTAAAAAGAAACACTTTTTCCCAAAATTTGCATACTAAAAGTACAAAAATAAAACTCCTTAAAAGTTTCATTGTCATATTTTTGTTTGTCTTTCAAGTTTATGCATTTATTTTTCTGCCTATCTTTCCAAAACCATTGATATCTATTTTAGATTTTGAAATTTTAATGCAAATTGTTGGTTCAGATATAGTTTTACATATTGGTTACTTGAACTTCTGTGATAAAATTTTGATATAATTTTTAAAGTTTATTTGTTGTTAATTATAATTGCATTTTATATACTTACTTTATACTTTATTAAGTGATATACAGGGAATCTTTTTAATATACAGACATATGATATTTTCATTGTTTAACAACCAGGCTATGTGCATATAGACTTTATATTAAACTTCTGTTTTTTTATGCCCAGTTTGAGTGTGCATATTTTTTTTGATAAATTGTCTGTTAATTATTTATACAATTTATTGTCACTCCAACACTTAATAAGATTGTTTTAATTCCTCACACACTTCTTAATTTAATTTATTTCACAATCTCCTCCCCGCTTTCCACCGACCGCTACCCACACTGTCCCCCCCCCCCCCCCCATAAACACACATTTATCTTATCATCGTGTCATCAATATTACTTTGATATTAGTATAGTAACATGTATTGTGGCGCAATGTTTTATTCTTGCTCTAGAGGCGTTCGTGATAGAGTAGTAAAAAATAATCCAGCTGGCTTAAGGAAGGCAGATGGTCCTACCCAGGTGTAGGCTTGTGCCTGAAAAATAAATGCAGTGTATGGCACTGAAAGTCTTTTTTCTGGGCCTGTGACCATGTTAAGATTTAAGGTTCAAAATTAAAAACTCAAATATTCTCCATTGTGTATGTCATAGATTTGATATTCAATTTTAATTTGACACATGTGGACTTGAAAGAGCAAGTTGATGAAATTATTTTTGAAAAATTATTATTACAAGAGCATTTTATAGTTGAATTGATAATACAGTAAAATTCTATTTTAGAGAAAAAAATGAGACTTCTTCATAAATTGAAAGTAGCCGTGTACTTAAAACTTTATAAATGTAACAATTATCTGATGCCAAACAGCGTTACAAACATGCAGTATTAGATTTAAACATAATTATTCATGTATCTTTGTTACATATTATAAGATAAATTCTTGTTAAACCAGTACAGTATTAAGGAAATTACTTGTGTACCTTAATTTTGTTATCATTTGCTAAAAGATGTATAATGATCTGAATTGCCAATTTTGAAGAATTACGGCATTTTGTTGATGTAAATCGAGGAGATGTACAGTTTCTACAGGAATTCTTTATAACAGCTAGTTTCCAACAAATCATGTGCCTTTAATACAATAAAATGCAAAATATATATTTTATTATACATTATGTGTACTGTTAAATGCCTGCAGCCTGACTTGAATTGTAAAGTGAAAACTTTCTGGGCCACAGAATTTTTTCACGAATGTTATCAGCACTCAGTGGTCTGGGCAAAATTGAAAAGAGAATGTTTCAAAACTTTGTTTTTATAGTCTTAGAACGAATAAGTAATTATTATAACATGTAATATTCAATGTTGTAGCATATAATTATTTGCCAAGTATTCCTCTTCTTATTTTTACATTATTCTGGTACATGTATTACTAACTGATGGATTATATTTTAAAATATCAATTATTGTGTATTGGAATATTTTACATGGAAATAAAATGTAAACCTTAATATTGTTAGTGTAATTTTTATACTTATCACAATGTATATTAAGAATATGCTTCAAACACTGACCGAATCGCTTTATAAAAATAATATCTCACATTGGATGTCTTTATTGGTTGTATGGCGGGGGCATCCTTGACTTAAAGACCACTTGCTCCTCACAGAGAGACATTGGATTCTTTCATGTCAGGAACATGACGGTTTTGAAAATCTGTGGTTAAACAGTCAATTTGTGCTTGAAATATTGCTCGGAAGGAAACCTGAGGTCTTCCTCCATCAGAAAAGCTGGAAAGTCGCCATATGACCTATATTGTGTTGATACAATATAAAACCCAACCAAAACATTGGTCATGTGGCTAGCAGCAACAAGGGGAAGGGAAATAACAATGTAAAGATCATATTATGTTTTGGTTGGGTTTACTTCCCTTAGATTATTCAGCAGTTATAATAAAGTCTGCTACAATAACAGTATGTTTAACATGTACAAATCATCAAATGTAATCAACTGAAGTGGTATACATAACTGATTAATTATTTGTCAAAATTTATATAAGAACATCAATATGTTGATAGAAGACAGGTCATTGACCTCACATACTATGTACTTGTGTAAGTGTAGACTTTTATAGGCTAGCAAACATTCTGTCTTTTATCCAGGTAATTGCTCCTTCTCAGAACTTGATGGTGACCGATTAGTTAAACAAAGTAGTAGAATAAAGCTGCTAGATCATCCTAGTACTATATGTGTGTTATAATCAAGCTATTGCTTTAAAGGCTAATATTATGATGTTATAGTTACTTACAGAACAATTATTGCTGTTAATGTTTTGCTTGACTATTCAAAGAATAGGGAGAGCTGTTGTTCTCACCAAGGCATCAACTTTGGCATCACACTGGTTTAGTTTTTGCTTGTAAGTTGGTAAAGTTACTGTTGTGTAGAATTTAGGAACACTGATTGTTTAACTACTAAATCAGGTTCTGGAATACAATTTAGGAAACTACTGGTATAGAACTCAGAAACACTAGTAATTAAACTACTGGGTAGAGTTTAGGAACATGGATCAGGTAACTGTTAAGTAAATTTAAGGAATACTGGTTTGGTTTCTAATGTTTAATTATTCAGAATCACTGTTTGGGTTACTACTTGTATAGAATTTTGGAACATGTAAGGTTACTATTGGTATAGAAGTCAGGAACTCTGGTAAGGTAACTATACCAGTATAAAATTCAGATACATTAGTAAGGTAATTACTAATAGGTTACTACTGATTAAGATTTTAGGACTATGGTTATATAACTTCTTCTTAGGTCCACTGTTAGGTAAAGAAAACAGGACCATGGTTATATAACAACTGGTATAAATTCAGGACCATGGTTATGTAACAACTAAAATATAATTCAGGACCATGGGTATGTAACTACTGGTATAGAATACAAGACCATGAATATGTAACTACTGGTATAGAATTCAGGAACATGGTTATGTAATTATTGGTATAAAAATCAGGAACATGGTTATGTCTTTACTGGTATAAAATTCAGGAACATGGTTATGTAATAACTAAAATAGAATTCAGGACCATGGGTATGTAACTACTGGTATAGAATACAGGACCATGGATATGTAACTACTGGTATAGAGTTATGTTATTATTGGTATAAAAATCAGGAACATGGTTATATAATTACTGGTATAAAATTCAGGAACATGATTATGTAATTACTGGTATAAAATTCAGGAACATGATTATGTAATTACTGGTATAAAATTCAGGAACATGGTTATGTCATAACTGGTATAGAATTCAGGAACATGGTTATGTAATTACTAGTATAGAATTCAGAACCATGGATATGTAACTACTGGTATAGAATTCAGGACCATGAATATAGAATTTGGGACCATGGTTATGTAAAAATAGGTATAGAAGTCAGAACCATGGATATGTAACTACTGGTATAGAAGTAAATTAAGTCCATGGATATGTAACTACTGGTATAGAATTCAGGACAATGGATATAGAATTCAGAACCATGGTTAATTAAGTACAGGTATAAAATTTAGGATCATGGTTAGATTACTGCTGGTAAATAATTCAGGGACATTAGATTGGTAACTCCTAGTTTAGAATCCAGAAACACTGATTGGGATACAACTGAATCAAGGACACTTTTTAAAGTAACAACATGTACAGAATCAGAGATCAATAACTAGGTTAATTCCCTGCGGTCTGGAGACCGCAGGGTATTGGTACGCGTTTAACTTTTGAGGCATGGAGGAGCACGTGACCTGTTTTCGGTACATGGAGGAGCACGTGATCTGTAAACCTTACATGATTGGTTAATTGACCCTTTCGAAAACCTGGCTAAATACCGTTTGCCGGTACGTGACGGATTTACCTCTAGGAAATTAGGTAGAATTACATCTAATTAGAACAAAGAAACTATTACGTGATATTTCTAATTTTCTATAAATATTTTACCGTTTAAGGTTGAAAAACTTGAATGATGTGTTTTAAAATTATCAATGTTTCTTTAATATGTATCTCAAATTTTACAGACAACTGAAAATCTACAAAATTGAAATATTCGATCGTAGTGGCATCTGGTAAACTTGTGTGTTTACTTTATTTTTTTTGCTCGGAATTATTCATAAAATGGTAGGCCTATTTAATCATTTTCTTAAAAAGAAATAATTGTTTTATGTTCGACCTTCTACGGTCATCAACGGTCACCAGTTTCCAAAGACCTTCTTCTATATTGATCGACTATATATTGTCCCCCCAAACAATGTTGAAAATAGTGAAATATTTTATAACATTAAAAATGTTCCCCGCAGGAAACCATTTTACTTGTACCCCTCTTGTTTGTATCTTATAAGCTGATAAACAGTAGATCTAAAACCATAGCTAGAATTTACATGGTGCTGGTTTGAATATAAAATTTTGCTCCATCTGAAGTTCTTTAAGCATGTTAATTTTGTCTACTTAATGTATTTTAAGTTAAGTTTTTAACTGCTCAATTTTTGTAGAATACATTAGAAGAGAACTAATGAAAGTACTAATCAGTATATTTTATTTCAGTGTAGCAGTTTTGTTATCCCAAAAACGCTTTTATATTGGCTAGAATACACTACACATGAATGTGTCATTGGAATTGGAATGCTGCAAAGTAAAATTGTCCAGTTTTTTTGCGAATTCCTTACAAGCTTTTTCCGTTGTTGTTTTCAACAATTTATTTTGTTTTAGTACATGTATATACTTGGAGATAATTTAATTTTAACTTCCTTCATTATGTAATTGAGAGTAAAAGAATGACAGCTACTTCGTGAAACACAATAAATGCCTGCAATTTACGCTTGTTAATTAATGAATAAATACTATTTTGGGATGGTTTTTCTAATTGAAATTGGTAATCTATTTTAGATAGATTTTCTGCAGTTGTCTATATGGGATACATGTACAGACTTTAGCTGGGAAAGATAAATGCCTAAATAAAAAAAAATGCTACAATTTTCTGTAATTTTATACATTTAAATGTCTGCCTGTATCCTTTGGTTTGAAGATAGATGCTATTCACAAAGCACTAATTGCCTCTCCTTGTGACCATTTTGAGGGTCATTTCCAATCATCTGCGTAAGATAAGACAGAAATCTCTTATAATTCTATCATCTTCATGAAAACTGATAAAATATCTTTAACATATTAGTGCTATAATAATATATTCCTTCATATGTCTAACAAAAGTTTAACAATTCACATAAATCAGCTGTTTATAGTGATTTTTTTTTATATTTTGTCAATTATATTATATTGAATATTAACCCCAAAAATGGCTGCCACTTTTGGCTAGTGAGGTAAATAATTTTAAAAATCGGACATATCTATATAGTAAAAAAATAATTAGTTGTGAGAGGCATAACTTCTATTGGGCATCTAGCTTCATTGGGCTTCTAAAACTGAAATTATGAAAAAAGCTATTCGTTTTGAACTGATATTTGAAAATTGCTATAAAGCATACCTCAAAAAATATTGTTGTCTATTTTTTTTTATTTTAAAAGGCTCACATAGACCATTTCTTCTGAACCCTCACCTCTTCTCTTACGGTGTTTTGCATTATTTCTTTGAAAAAAAAGCTTTAATCAGATAGACTAATTTATAACCTAGACCATTAATAATTTGAAAGTTTAACAAAATACAAGAAATTACAGAATGTATTACATTTCAATTTAGTTAAACCACTTGCTCCTCACTGATATAGGTTCAAATCTCTTCAGTGGCTTAGAATTCTTTTATGTTAGGAAGGCATCCCAATTAGCTCATGGAACATCCGTGGTTCTACTTAGATGCCCATTTGTGCCTAAAATAATGCATGGAGAGGTACCTAAGGTCTTCCTCCACCTATAAAGCTGGAAAGTCCCCATATGATCAATGTTATGTTAATTTTAATGGTAAAACCGACACAAAAAGAAGATAAGGAAATACTCATAATTGTAGGAAATATATCGAATTTGGTCTTATATGCTAGTATTTAACATATTAAC